ATATATATATAGTTTTGGGTCCCGGGGACTCATGATTGGATCCCCGAGTGATCCTCCGTACTGTTCCTACGGTACTCGTTGCATGATGCTCAACAAAGCCATAACCATGCATGATCAGGGGAGGAAACATGAGAAAATAGAAGCAAAAGCAAGAGAAGGAGCAACATTCTGAGTATTCAAGAAAGATGATGGATCCCCCACAATGGAATGGGTGGGAAATAAATTGAAATCACACTACCCCCAAGTGGTGCTGAAATACTGTTGCAAAGAGGTATTGACCCTCTTGAAGGCCACTGGTGGTGTGTAAGGTACTAGTACTGAGCACAAAACATACCACCCATCTGTACAGAAACATTTCTTTTTCCATTTGCATCCATCATTCAGGGCTGATAGTTGGAATCAACATTTGACTTGGATTGATTGGGTGACATTTCTGGTTCTAGATAACAATGGAAAAGAAGTAGGAGTTCTGGCACAAATAGTTTTTTGAAACTAAAGAGAAGGGCCAGGACACTGACTGGGGGATTGGTTGGGGATAGGGGGGGGGGGGGGTTATGCCTGCAATGTCATACTAGTCTGTTCCTTCCAGGAAGCACCAAAACCAACTGTCTCCAATTTTGTCACCAGAGGAGAGTTCAATGGGAAGAACTTTGAATTGTATGACACAGAAACCATAGTTATGGAATAAGGGAAAGGAAGTACAATGGAAGATAGGGGATGAAAAACAAGGAATTGGAGATGCCACTGGTATGCCTTTGGTGCTGTTTTGGCATTAATTCTTGGAACTCTGGCGGTACAAATTCACACAGGCTTTTGCCTTGGCAATTGCCCAGTAAGGAATGGTAATTAGTGTCAAGACATGCAACAAAGTTGAGTCCAGGTCTAAGAATTTTTATGGCATTGAAAAACTGGTCTTTCAAAGATTTGGGAGACCGTGCTTGGGTCGTACATCATGGAGTTAATAGCATCCCTCACCACAGTTGTGTTACCTTCCAACATTCCACATTTTCAAAGAAAGAAATTGATGGCTGTTTCTGCATTGTACAGTTTTTTACAATTTTTCTCAGCGAGAACCATGTTGGTCAGAGCAGATTCAGAGTCACCATAATACTGTAAGCATGGAGGAGGTAGAGGACAGAATAAGCTTTCAGTATTGGTATTTGTCACCTTCAATTCATCCTGGAGTCTTGATCTCATTCTAACTTTTCACTGGAAAGATTAGATTCAAATACAGGGGTGAACTTATTTTGAGGGGGTTGAGTGCTTTTTGGGCCAGTTGTCTTCAAAGTGTTCTGCTTGTTTAGCTTGTTGCCTGGCTCGTGCAAGATGGTTGATGTTTTCTGCTTCTCTATTGCAACACTCACCTCTTCTGAGTTTGGTGGATAACATCCAATCAAGTCAACAGCAGAGCAGGCGGAGGACACAGAAGTATTGATTCAGCTTTGGAGATGATGCACTGACAGATGAAGAGAGTCGAAGCTGTTGCTACTATCCTGTGCAGACTTTTATGTGGGGCCTGAGCCTCTGGAGGAGGTTCTGAATTACCTTGTCATCTGTAGGGTAATCTGTTTTGCATGTGGAGTTGTAAAGAGAGGGGTCATGGTCACACATTTGACCATAAGATTCTTGCATTTCTTGAGAAGACCCATTAGATGAGTATCAGGTTTGCATGTAGTTGGATCATGATGAAGAAACATGTTCACTTTAGTACACAAGTGGAGCAGCTTGTTCATGAGGATGTTGTTCAAGCTGATGTGTCTGCTCACGTTATAGCTGGACGTCTGAATTGTATTCAAGAGAGACTGAATAACTGAAGATTTAACACCTTCCTTGTCAAGTGCATCAATACAATCAGATATTGCAATCATACAAACTCTTGAGATGTATGAATGGTGAATCATGAAGAGTTTGAGTTTATTGATGTACACTACAACGTCAACAACAAAATTGGCCCAATCTGCTGGGCATTTCTTTGTGAAAAACTTGACATTTTGAGGATGTGCATATTGATTTGCTTTTTCTGAGACAGCAAACAATTTCTCAACAGCCACTTGTAGGGAATATTGATTTGCATCTATGTAGATAATGGTCATGTAGGTTGAAACAAGTGCATCATTGACCATGTCCTGCTGGAGACAGGCCTGAATTAACTGATCTTGAACAGAGCAGAAGAGCTGGACTATGTTGCTCTTGTGTTGATTGAGCTGAAAAAAAGCACAAAGAAATAAGTTCATTGTGTGTGGAGGAGTAAACCTGTTGGATGGAGATCTTTCATTTGAATAGATCCTTTGACTTCAGTGGCAAACGTGAACCGTTAGGTTCAGATGTATCTGTGTCAGATATGCTGGTGTGCATTGTTGCAGTACCATTGCAAAGAAACATGATGAGAATGGCAGCAAAGAATGGAGGTTCCTTTGTGCTGTGTTTTTGTGAATTGTAAAATATTGCTTGTTTGTAACATAGCTATGATTATTTGTGTGTTGCAACCAGAGGAGGGGCATCCACATGATCCTTGTGGGTAGATTTCAAATAGTGAATGTGTGAATGGTTTCTACCTGCAAACAAGAGGCAAAGCTGTCATTTCAAACGTGATTGTGATGAATACAATGGATTGTGTGAGAACAACTAAGAAAATAGCAGCAATACTACAGTAGAGAGAAGCAGATGGCAAGGTTGCTGTGGTTGAGGGAATCAGATTGTAGTGAAAACAAAGGACTGTGAAACTAAAAGTGGTGGGACTGTTGGTTGCTTCTACATGGGAACAACAGTAAGAATAGTACTAGTTCTTTATTGTTTTCATAAAGTGCAACGGATACGTACGTAGTATGTACTGTATTGGAAGCATACGTACTGTATTGTTGGAAGCATATGCTTAATCTTATAATTCAATTTCATACACACTTCAACACTTACTAAGAGTATACATAATCTCTTGCATGAAGGATACCCTTGAAGACACTGTACAAGCACCACTCCAATGACTTGTAATACTTTGCAACTAGTGGGATCTGAAGGATTGGTACAAAGAATTTGATTAGTTTTTGAAGTATAAAGTGAAACAATTGCTTTGCTCTGTAATGCAATCAGACTTGGTCTTTGACTCTGATTGATACTGAAATGCAATAACAAGAATTGGATGTCATGGCCCCAAAACTGTGTACTAAAATAATTTGGCATACCAGTAGAAAGGTAAAGGATTCATTCTTGAGAACTGCGTTGGCTTCTTTACAAGTAGAAAGAAAAGGCATGTGTTAATTGATTTTCAAAACAAGCTCTGATATGGATTCAAAACTTGGATCCATCTATGTTTATTCTATATTTTCTTCCTCTTCTTCATCCTTTCATTGCATCATCCTTTTGTTCCCCATCATCCTCGTCACCAAATCCGTACAAGTTGTGTGAAACAATATAGTCAAGCACCTTGTTTGGAATCAACTTTTTCGCGACGTCTTTGTCGCGACAATTCCGTACCTTGGAGGATGATACATCATCTAGATTCGGGAGGTCTAATACTAATATTTCACCGTTGGCTAACTGTGTCGAATTTAATCGATTAACTCGTTCCTTCAACGATTCCTCGGTTGTCTTTTCTTCTGGTTTTTGTAATTGCCGTCGATTCCCGTCTATTATTGGGGCTGCTTTCCGTTGTTGCTTTCTATTGACGACTACCAAGCGTCCCCCCAATAACTTCAAGACATCCTTCGAACGTTTCCATTTCCAATCAGTTAGGTCCATGAAGGTATCGGCACCCAAACAAAAGGAAAATTCTGTTGTATTGTGATCATTTTTTTCTTTTTCCTGTTTGATCAACATTTCCAGTAAATCTGCCGTCCCCACCCTAAGGGAGGCCTTTTCTTCGTCAGTCATGGTATCCAAACACATCCGTCGGAAGGAATCTTCTTCGGCTCGAGAAACGATCACATTTGTTCTTCTTGGGTTATGTTTGCCCTCTGTTACTTTTTTTCCATCTTGCTGTTGTTGTCGCTGCTGCTGCGTCTCCGCTTCAGTTCCCAAGAATGCCAATTCGCACATGGCAACCCGATGAGAGTAATCTATAAGTTGGTTTCGCTTGGAGGAAAAGGTGTGCTGATAGACTGGCAAGACTCGTACCTCGTCGTATTTTTGAAGCTTTACAATGGATTCGACGAGACCAACATGGCCTCCCTTTCCCGTAGGAGGATTCGCAGATGTTCCAAACAAGCATATCTTTCGTGGGCGCTGCTCTGAATCGCTGCCGCCAACACTCCCTGTGTTTCGTGTTGGAATCATTTGACTTTCGTCAGCAGGGTGAATATTGGATTGCAGAGAATTGCTTTCGAAATCAATGAATTTCGAAGTGCTGGTTTTTGGTTTTTCTCTTGGTCATGCTGTCGGAATCCACTTCGTAATTCAAGCACTCGTACACGTAGTACAGATTCTCGCACAGAACAAAAAACAGTTGCGTAGCGCAGTTGTTCCTACTAACTGCTCTGAGTATTGGAAACGACGGACAGACGTAGGACGCTGACCAGACAAAACAGCCATTGCGTAAATTGCTGCAATGCGATAGCTTTACACCTCAGCAAGCCTTGGCCTCATTCTTGAAAGAATTGGGGTGAAGTACTGCGATGGTAGGATTAGACATGATGTGACACCTGACACAACACAATTATCATCACCACACAAGAAACCAAGAAGAACAAGAAGAGGAGAATCTGGTGGTGAAAACTTGTTGTCCGTAGGATATCAGACCGTGGGTATGATTCATACATACGACACGTACATACGATACGTATCTACGATTCATACACAC